GGATGCTGAGATGGGCCTGCGGCTGGACGCGACTGGACAGGTTCAGAAACGAGGATGTCGGAGCGGTCATGCAGACTGCCCCTGTCCAAGAGAAGACCGCAAGACCACCCGATAAGAATGCGATGGACTTCGAAGTGCAAGGCAAGCGACCGCGAGGAGCCCCAAAGAAGAGGTGGAAGGACGTAATCAAGAAGGACCTAAGTGAAGTCACGGCCACAGCAGAAGATGCCCTGGACAGAGCGAAGTGGCGACGACTGACAAAGACAGCGGACCCTGCGACTGCGCGGGACTAACGCTAGGGAGAAGAAGACACTATGGAATTACTAGCTGACGAGTGACACGAGCTAGGCACCACCTCTATTTGATGGGTTGTCCCATAATTCCTGTCCGAATTTCGACACTTTCTTCTCATCGAGTTTTATCTTCCTCAAAAACCAATTGATCAAAAATATAACCATTATCATAATCACCGATATGCATCCATTCGCCAGGGAACCTTTGGATGCTTTCCTCCTAGAATGGGTGAAGCTATGAGCTGAAGAATTCAGCAAGGTCGTTTTTGGAGTGGTTGTATTTAGTGACTTTTTTCTCTCGCCGCTGCTGCCTCAAGGCACTGTGAAGGGGGTAGCCCGATGGAGTGATGCCAGGGCTATACGATGGACATGGTATCGTGGTCCAGCCAGTTTCCCTCAGAACGTAGCGAGTTATCTTTGCAATGTGAGGTCGGCGTCTATTCGGAGAAAGGGATTTTGGGACGTTTAGGACGGTTCTCTCCCACTACTGCGGCCAACCCGGGAGCTGTTCCACGATGGCATTCGCAATACTTGTCCGCATATAGCAAAACGACTGTGAAAACGGAAGACCCACTCAATCTAACAAATCAAAAGCAATATTCTCTGACCACGGAGTTTGGGCTTTTGTTGAGCTGGTGAGCCCTGGCTGCGAGGTAGCCATCAGGCGTGCTGCGTGTTGTTGTCGTAGTGAACTCATGACTCATCCCCACTAGTGATCAACTAGGGAACGCTCTGCTAATGAGGTCACAGAATGAAATTCCCCCAGAGGGTCAGACCTGCTTCTCGGTCATGGCTGGTCGGTGCATATGGTTTCCATCAAGTCTTCATTCTGCTGCCGCCCACTTCATCCTGATGGCGTGTGCTGGTGCATCGGCTGCGCCCAGGTGTCTGCTACAATACCCTGGTAGTAGCGTCCGTGTGCACTTCCAATCCATGGCGCAAGGGGTCCTCATCGAAAGTGAGTGGAGGCCCAGGATGAGGCTGATTTTCACAGCTCGTATTGTCTTTGCCATTGCGACCGAACCTCTAGCTCAGTGACCGATCAGTAGCAGAGACTGAGATAAATACAGCGCTGATCTTATGCAACAGCGTCGTTTGACTATCAGTGCACTCGTAAGATCACATGAGGATATTGATTCTCTTCATTCCATTACCAAGGTCATATTTGGTGGGTGACAACAGTTGACACACTTCATGTAACGTAGTCAAAGAGGGGACATTCCACAAAAAAAATGAACAATCATTTCATACTGATTGTATAGGTCAGTTAAATGCTAGTAACCAGATTACTGTTCGAGCGAAGTGCTAGCAGCGCCGGCCCATCCTTTCATCTTCTGTGCCGCAGCTGCGAGGTCACCGGCACGCGCTTGCATCCGCGCCGTCGGTGAGGGTTTCTCTCCCTACTCGACCAGTGAACCATGTTTCCGGGGGAAGTTCTGAAGAATTTTCTTTGAGGAATAAAATGTAGTAAAGATAAACATATATAGTGTATATAACATACATTATACGTATATATATTTATTTATTATAAAGATATACAGTGCGTTGCAAAATCATAGGACACCCCCCAAAAATATGAATATCTCGGCTTCTAGAAAAAGCCGTCTATCGCAACTGGTAGAATCAGAACCGCCTCTATAAAAAACCTATACAAACAAGTAGCCAGATCATCCGAATAGTTTTCCGTATTTTTAGACAAATTTTTTTAGTTTTGTAGTCGTTGCAAAATCATAGGACACCCCTCGGAAGTCTCCTTACAGTTGAATTTTTTATCCATCCAGCAACGATGGTAGCACTTGTCCGGTGTATGGTAATTCTATTAGAGTTACGGTTTGAGTTGCTCCCTTTCCCTCCGCGAGTGAAAGCCAGACTTTCCTTTTATACGCGCCTGATATCTTTGCCAGTGCCCAGTCTTTGTTAGATTCTCTTCCCTGGTTTCAATCAGAACGCCTAACGAGCATGGCAGCACGCTTCGCAGGACCCTACGCTAGTTGTCCATATCAGTGATTTTGCTATAGGATTTCATTTCTATCCTCTTTCTTTCGTAGAGCTGACACAGGTTGACCGTACATGGTTTTGTTTGATGTAGTCTTCGTGGTTTTTATAATAACAATTTATTTCAACAAAAAACAATTTAGAAGATCGAGTCCGAGAACTCGAACGCCACTTCTTTGCCTGTCAGCTTCCTGTATACCGTCACAAACGTATCGACCTTGTGATCAACGTTCGTCTGTCGGGCCTTATCGAGGTGAACCTCCAAGAGCTTCTTGTCGTCGAGCTTGACACGTGTACGCTTTCCGACCACCTCAGCAGGGAAGACCATTTCATCGAGCCATGCCTCGTAGACTGCAGTAAGGGTACGGAAACGCGGCCTTTTCTGTTTCATTGGAACTTTCTTCGATGGGCTTGGGTAGGATAAGACGCTTGGCCAGAAAGAGCACATGTTTTCCTCCAAACTTCTTCTCAAGCTCACGAACGAGCCGCACTTGCACTTTGTGAAACTTTTTAAGCTGCGGAACGGAAACGTATACAACAATCACTGACTTGTTTCCAATTTCAATTTCCCGTACTCCTACAATGTAGAGTTCACGAAGCTGAGACTTAATATCTTGACTATCAAATCAACCAGCGCTTGAAACTTGCTTCTCTAATTCCTTGGTAACCGACCCATCGGGCTTCATACTTATCTATGATCTCAGGCATTTTGTGCACTCAGTTGAGACTCAAACTTGGGTAATTAAACCCAAGTTTAAGTTTCAACTCTCAAGGTTATAGCTAATTCTTTCTAATTCTAAGAACTTCTGCTATTTATCCTGGTGCACTCTTATTTCTATTCGTAGTGAGAATTTGGAGCACCAAGCTATGGTTTTCTTTGAGCTCCTAAAAATGGCTTCGATGCTCATGGTAGAGCCATCAGGCGCGTATAAAAAGAAAGTCTGGCTTTCACTCGGAGGGAAAGGGAGCAACTCAAACCGTAACTCTAATAGAATTACCATACACCGGACAAGTGCTACCATCGTTGCTGGATGGATAAAAAATTCAACTGTAAGGAGACTTCCGAGGGGTGTCCTATGATTTTGCAACGACTACAAAACTAAAAAAAATTGTCTAAAAATACGGAAAACTATTCGGATGATCTGGCTACTTGTTTGTATAGGTTTTTTATAGAGGCGGTTCTGATTCTACCAGTTGCGATAGACGGCTTTTTCTAGAAGCCGAGATATTCATATTTTTGGGGGTGTCCTATGATTTTGCAACGCACTGTATACATACATTATGCATACGTAGTATATACATATAATTTAGAGCTACACTTATTCCGTTCCTTGTATGCGATTTCGAGGCAAAATAAAAGATAAATACCGAGGCAAAATGACGGGTAAATACTGCGTGGCCGAGGCCGAACGAGGATATGCACGAAAACACCAGTTGGTAGGTTGTTTCGTAGGAGTTTCGCGGCCAAGATGCCTTTCGAGGTATGATGCATCAATCAAGCATCTCGCCACGCTGAAGTCGACATCAGAATGCCAAACTTTCCGTGAGAAGTGCCGCACGAGAAGGATGCTCTCAAGGCGCGCCTGCACCAGCCAGATGGATGCCCTTCCCAGCAGGATAACCCGCTGATGACACCGAAGCATAATGTATACTAGGTTCATGAAACGTATACATAATCGAACACTATTTTGTTAGGAAACTTTATGATGCGTAGCTATACAGCATATGTTGTGCGTCAGCAAAATGAAGGAACCTCGTGGATCAGTCAAACCGCAAAAAGTCGGGTAGATCGCAAGACTTAAAGCAACAGTCCCAGCAGGGTGGGCGTGGTCGGAAACGACTGCAATCCCCTCGGCCGATTCCGACCACGCCCACTTCAGCTCCCTCCCTAGCGGCTTTCCAAGGTGAGTTTTTGTTCAGTCACACTTCTTACGTTCTTGACTAGGGGCTGAACAGCTCCGAAGTGGGAATCGGCCGAGGGGATTGCAGCCGTTTCCGACCACGCCCACCCTGCTGGGACTGTTACTTTGATTTATCAATGTTTTGCAATAGCATAATTGTGATAACACCCCAACGTTTATCAACATCTAATGAGCACAGACTCGGACATTCCACATTAATCTGCGGTGACAGCTGGAGGGCAGTACAGGGAGGAGGGGAACATATAGGGTAGGCAACAAGGGTAGGATACTTGTTGATTTACTGCTCCGCCCAATGAGCGATCGCCTAATCACCTAATCGCCTAGTCATCTAATCGCACCCACGTTCGCCAATTAGGAACACTTTATAAGCTATCTATAATTGAGCATTGAGACGTCGTTCCAGCGTCTTATCGGCTGTGGTGATGCTCTCTACTTTTACCAGCATACGGGTCACGTCCATATTAGTGTTGATGACGTGAGTGGAAGGAAGTACAGCGGAATACGTAGAGATTACGCAGGGAAGGGGTCCCAGCGGGATCAATCTGGTATACCAAAAAATCGAACACGACTGCAGAGAATGACGGGACCTACGACACAGCATGAAATAGAGGGTATGCAAAGCCTACTCACCGGCCGCCGAAGGGAAGCGTTGAGACCCGTTGACTGCACTAGTTTGAAGTAACTAACTCGTTGGCGCGCAGGAGGTATGCCCCTAAGAAGAGGTTTCCCCACAGTGGATGTTCTCTTCCATTCCAATCGTAAGTAAGCGGCATTTTTCCCGGCAAAGGCGCGGAAAATGACTGGAATGTTCCCTCCCAGCGTAGTAGCATGTCCAGTATCCTATCGCAGCACACTACGTAGACAATTGCTGGTTTTAGCGAATGTACGACACCCACTTGAACCATGTCTTCTTAGAGCCGAGATAAATGCTTTCGAAAATTTTAGAGACCAAATCTACAGAGCTGTTATTAAGAATATATATCCTTCTATTTTATAAAGCGCTAACTTTGTGTGTCGGTTGTATGTATGTATGTATGTATGTATGTATGTATGTATGTATGTATGTATGTATGTATGTATGTATGTATGTATGTATGTATGTATGTATGTATGTATGTATGTATGTATGTATGTATGTATGTATGTATGTATGTATGTATGTATGTATGTATGTATGTATGTATGTATGTATGTATGTATGTATGTATGTATGTATGTATGTATGTATGTATGTATGTATGTATGTATGTATGTATGTATGTATGTATGTATGTATGTATGTATGTATGTATGTATGTATGTATGTATGTATGTATGTATGTATGTATGTATGTATGTATGTATGTATGTATGTATGTATGTATGTATGTATGTATGTATGTATGTATGTATGTATACGTCTATACGGTGGCCCCTTGGACAGCTCCACTTCCGGCAGTGGATTACCGCCAGTTTTGGCTAGGCGGTGGGGGATGTCCAGGCCATCAGCATCTATGAGTGAAGTCGAAGAAAATGTACCCTCAGTCCCGTGCAGCCACCGTCCTTCCTGGCAGAGAGGACAACGGCAGAGGGGGAGAAATCTCACGGAAAGCGATCTGTCCAATTGTTTCTAAATATTGCTACAATCAACACTCGTGGACTTACCAGCGATGCCAGAATAGACCAATTGATATCAGAGTTAGATAGATGTGCTGTGGATGTGACATGTGTGCAAGAAACGCTGAGGCATCAGGCAGGAACATGGAAGTGGCATACAGAACATGAAATTGTCCTAGGAGCAGGATCGAACAGCGGAAGAATCGGTGGAGTTGGCTTTGTTATAGCCCCACATCTGAGATCGAGGATAACCTATTATGAGGTGTTTTCTGAACGAATTGCGGTGCTCGTTCTTGAACTAGGCAAAAATACCACGATGAGATAATATCAGCATATGCGCCTACTGGAGCTTACGACGATGATGCTGTAGAGGAATTCTATGATATGTTGGAAAGGGCAATAAGCAATTCTCCAAAAGGAACTTACATCGTATGCGCTGGTGATTTCAATGCTCACTTAGGCCGAGGAAATCCCGAAGAAAAGTTTGTTGGACCATTCGGAATCCCAGGAAGGAAATAATCGTGGCGAAGCTTTGGCCCAATTTTGTGAACGATCTCGATTAGCTGTGGCAAATTCGTACTTTCAAAAACGCAAAGGACGTCGATGGACATACCATACCCCGAATAGGCAGATGTACTATGAAATCGACTTCGTCCTGACCAATTGTCTGCGTCTTTTTCATAACGTGACGGTCATCGGAGAGTCGCATTTTAACATTGGTTCGGACCATCGAATAGTCAGAGCAACAATAGCAGTAAGACTCAAAGAAGAACGAAGAAGACTAGCCTCGTACTATTCGCGACGATTTCGATATATACTATCCGAAGAAAGATTGAAAGCGCTCGCTCCTACTGTCGACTTTTCTGCGGAACATGGAAATGTGCTTGTCAGATACGAAAAAGTTGTCTCCGCCATTCGAACAGTTGTCAAAAATGCTTCTGAGCGCGTCCAAAGAAAACCAAGAGAACGATTAAGTGCTGATACCTTAAGATTACTGGCAACTCGAAAAGAAGTGGGAGAAACTTTGACCCCGGTGGCCCGAACTGTATTGAACAAGGCTATACGATACAGAGTTAAAAATGACTATAAAGAATATGCAGCACGAAGAGCGCGAGAAGCAGCCGAAAAGTCGGCAAGTATCAAGAAGACATTTATCAGCACTCGCCTGAAAACAATCATTCCTGACTATTTAACGAAATCAGACGGCTCTGTTGTGCGAAATCGAAAGGACATGGGAGAAGAGATACAAAGCTTTTTCCAAGATTTGTTTTCTAGTAAAGTACAAGTGCAACCGTTCACGATGCCGTTTGAAAAAGAAGATGATGTATGCGATAAAGAAGAATGGCGAGTTTTGGAATCGGAAGTGGCGCTGGCTATCCGGCAAGCAAAAGGAGGAAAGACACCCGGACCAGACCAGATTCGAGCATTAAAATGCCTACAAGAATATATTGCGCGACCACTAGCGGACATATTCACGGAAATACTAGCATCACGAACTGTTCCGAAAGAATGGCTAGATTCCAACACTATTTTAATACATAAAAAAGGACCACGTGATGTTTTGGCTAATTATCGCCCGATAGCGCTTCTCTCGGTGATGCTAAAAATCTTTTCACGCATCATCCTGAATCGCATCCGTCAAATTCTCAATATGAACACATGCAGAGAGCAAGCCGGTTTCCGTGAAGGATTCTCTACTATTGATCAAATACACGTCGTCTCTCAGCTCACAGAAAGATGTCGAGAATACCGAATTCCTCTATGTTATCTTTTCATCGACTTCAAGAAAGCATTCGACACGGTTGAACATCAAGCAGTTTTAAACGCACTCATTGCTTTCGGAATTCCTCGAAGATATATTGAAATAATACAACAATGCAACACAAATTGCTACACTGACGTCAATCTGCTCAAAAACCCGATCCGTGTC